CCCCAACAAATAAACCGGGCAAACATCACAGCCGCTTGCTCTGCCACTTTATTTTATTTTATTTATTTATTTATTTTAGAAAAGCCGTACCAGACTGCTTGGAGAACGGCGGCTCTGCCAGCTAAGAAAAAGGCATCTGCTCTCGTTTCTTTTGCATGCGAGTGTGTGCGCGCACGTATGTGTCCGCCTGTCCAACCACCCCCTCTCCCTGTGACGAGGAACTGCTAGCTGGCCCGAGCCCACTCGACTGGCCACCTTCCCGTCTTCCTGCTGCGGGAGGCCTGCTTTCCACTCTGCCAACTGTCGCATAAAGAGGGGGGGCACGAAATAGTTGAGGGGAAAGATTTTCTGTGTGTGTCTGTCTCACTATTCTCTGAGGAATGAGCTTGAGGGTTAGACATTTAGAGCAAGGTCAATTGGTGTGGGACATTGCTATTTAGCAACAGCTTTCTGGTGATTTAATGCCTTGTGTCATTAGAAATGAAGGAATGAATATTAATCACAGCATTAATTAATAATATTCCAATATGCATTGCCATTAGGGAGTCATCGCATTGATAACAAATTCATTTTACGGTGTAATAATGACGAGGATCATCTTAAGTGACAACAAAAACAAGGAGGCATCCAGATGGTAAGAGGAAAGGGCAACCAGTTTCAAAGTGCAGCTCCTCCAGACTTTTTTGTTTGTTTGTTTTTGCCACAGTAGCTACTGAAGATAAAAGTCTGAAGCTTTTACTTTCGTTCTTATCATGAAGATAATTCAGGACCTGTAATTTGGGACAGATGCATTAAAAAAATGCTTGAGTATTGGCTAGTTAAAATGTCAAGTAAAAACTCGAGCACTATTGCAAAATCCCACATTTGAGTACAAATTAGCAAAAAACCTTTTACACTCTTTTGAAATATAACTATATGATATTTAGCACTCGCCACTAGTTGTCTTTTGCTATGTGAAGTTTCTTTTTTATTAAGGTGTACTCAAATATAACTAGTCATTGCGCAGAGATTTTTTAATGTATCGATCCCAAATTACAGGTCCTGATTCGTGTTGATCATAAGAAAGAGCAGTGAGAATTTCAGGCTTTTACCTTTAATGGTTTTTGAGACACTGATGTTCAAATATTGCCTCAGATTTGAATGTGCTGAAAGTACGTCGATGGACCATATTTCTAAAAAGAATGTGTCCTGAAAAATATTTGATATATGAAGCTGAAATTTCACAGCACTCGTCAGATAAATTCAACTTTTGGACCATAAAATTGTCGCGAATAAGAGGTTGAGCATAAGGCCCATGTTGATTTCAGATGGAAGGACCCAATTATAAGAATCCGTCTAAACTCACTGGATGGTCACACCAAAAACTACGACTTTTATCTATTAGCTCCAATTTATATGAAGCAAAACATTTAAGATTTTACTTGCTACATGTGCAATATTCCTTCATAGGAAATCCAACAGGTGACGGAAATACAAAGAATGCAAATGCTTGGTGTGCGTACAGGACCACAAGAGAGGACTATTACATATGCGCTTGGGTTGTGGGTTGCAATGTCACAATGTGTGAGTATGGGTCTTACACTCTCGTGCTATATGTGGATGGATCTGTGAGTAAGTCGGTAAAGTGGGCAGCTGCTCGTTTTAGCCCACTCCCCTCTGCCTGAGTCTACGTCAGCCGGAATCTATGTATGGAGGCTTGCTCATCCTCTGCCACCCCCATATACGACCAGGCTCACACACACGCAGGCATCCATACACGCTATGTGTATATAAGACACTTCCTTTAGTATGGGTATCACTCTACTATGTAAGAAGGATCGTTCGGAAGATTTCTAAAATAAGCTAATGACTTCCTCAAACAGCAGGACTATCTGGTGGTAAAGATAAAAAGTTAACCTGCACAGTGCCAGAGGCAGCAAAGTGATTCCTCTCAAAGTAATCTCAGATTAAACAATGTCTCGATTAATCAAACGGGAGTAAAGCACTTCCATCGGGTCAACAAGAAAACCAGTCGTTCTTATGAGTGTTAAGATGTTACCATTTCAGTGTCAAAACTGACTCAATTCACCATTAACGCAGTAATGATGAAGAATTGTGGGGCACATAGCAACAGTTGCCAGTAGCCGCTTTCACAGAAGCTCCAAGCCCTCATTCAGCGGCTAGCTGCTCCTTCAACGGTATTTATAGCCGCTATTGATCGAGACAGATTTGGCTGAGAAGGAAAAGCAGCACTTGAGATTTAGCAGCAGACTACAGAAACGGATTTATGCGTCTGAGTGCGTCTTCGATTGATTGTGTGGAAATGCATACTGTATGTCACAGTCATCTCTTGTTCTCACTGCCTCTCTACCTCGTGTCATTTCCACCCCATTAAAGTGCTCCATATGAACATCATCACATTTTAAACGGCTCAGTCAGCTGCTGCCCTGTCCGCTCCCAACAACAAACCCATCAGATTCAGTCTCCACACACTTAACTTGAGTCACCCAATCAATCCCAGCTAGTGGATTGATTTACTGTGGGAGGCTACAATCTTGCTTGCTGGGGCTTTCTGTTTCGACTGCTGCAGGATGACTAGTCGTCTATTTAAAGGGCTCAGGGCTTGACTGAGGACTCTGGGCACATGCCAAGGTGATAGAAGCCACTTTCAGTGAACCGTAGGTGGTCAATTATTGGGATAACACTGACTGTATCTGCGATTTAGGAAAAGGAAATCTCACACACCGAGTATGAATGGGGTAAAGTTTCCTACTCTGCTCTGATGTGTATCCTCTAGTTCTTTTAATCATGAGTAGACTGAACTCGATGGGGAAACTTAACAGCGCACAAATATAGTTTCCTTTTCCTGTCTGCGTAAAGCTCTTGCCATTAGTGGTAATTACTGTTATTATGTGTAAAACAGTGACGCAGGTACAGCAGGTCTAAGGAAAGGCCTTGCGCAATCCTCAGCAACAAGGCAGCTTTAATCACAGACATGAAAGTGTTTGAGGCTATTACAGCTTTAACACAGTGTTTACTTCTGCTCTGCTGACTGAAAACTTTTTGGGTTAAATATGTGGATCCATACAGCTAATGAATGGAGCAGTCAATAACACGCCTGTATCTTTGACTCCGCTGAAGTGTAAAACACAGGTGTAACTGCTAAGGACTATATTCAGTTGCTGTCAGTGTTTTTGCTGCACTGTCCCATCTGGAGACACTGTTTATATGACTCGGATGATCATGCAGTTCCATCTGCATTCTACTGACAGTGTCTCCATCAGTGCAAACAAAAAGCCAAAATGCATGTTTTTAACGCATTAAGCGGTTAATGCTCAATGTGCCAAAATATAAAATATTTAAATGTCATGCAGCTCCATTTCTGGAATTCTAAAAGTGTTTTCAAACACTGGTGTGACAAATCCTCCCACCACAACATAATCCATACACCATTTGTCCTTAAACTACAATCAGCAGCCATTTGGGTTTTTATGTTTGTTTGGGTGCACTTTGCTGGCGCTGGGCTGGATGCCCTTTTGCTTTTAGAACAGACGTAATTCTTCATGACACAGATTCAGCAAGGTGCTGATAACATAATAGCATCACACAGTTGCTGCACATTTGTCAGCTGCACATCCATGATGTGAATCTCTCGTTTCAGTCCGGATGACTGGATTGAGATCTGGTGACTGTGGAGGCCATTTGAACATGACACAGGACCTGAGGGATACATGTGGCCCTGAAGCCTCATCAGAAATGATCTCAGTGGAAGGGTGGCTGTCAAGAAGCCATTCTTAAGGAGGGGAAACCAAGAGAAAAAGGCTGAGGTATGAAAAATTACACAAGAACTGGACTCAAAATATCCTTTTATGGACTCAAAATGTATGAAGGAGAGGTACGACAGTGTCTACAGCCATCTGTAAAGCATAGTGGAGGCTCTGTCATGGTTTGGGGACGCGTTTTAGCCAGTGGTGTTGGGGATTTTGTTAAAAGTGACAGAAATATGAATGCAGAAAAATGCAGTCAGATTTTGAGCCACCATGCAATGCCATCTGTCATCTGTGAAGCGTACCATTAGAAATCGTTTTATTTTTCAGCACGACACTGATTCCAAACACACTGCCAATGGAATGAAAGCATATCTGGATAGAAAAACAAACACTGGAACATTATCAGTCAACATTACTGAAGCAGTGTGGGATCGTCTTGACAGAGAACAGAACAAAAGCCAACATCAAAGAGCTTTGAATGTCCTTCAAGAAACCTGGAGAACTATTCCACAAGACTACCTAAAGAAATAACAAGAAAGCTGCCTAACAGAGTTCAGACTGTGTTAAAGCACAAAAGGTGGTCCTAACAAGTATTGACTTTCAAACTCATTAGAATTGTGCAAACTGTTTTTCCCCTCTTCCATACATGTGCGCACACTTTTCAATCCATGACTGCACCTATTTCTCATTTTCCCCGCAAAATATATTGACTCAAGAATATATAAATTTAAAACTCCTGTATGGGTAAATATAGATCTGTGCCAGAAAATCATAAATGTTACAATTTCTTGCTAGAGGTGAAACCAGAAGATCATTTGACATCATATTCTGCCACTATTTTGTGTGCCCAAAGGGTTATAGTGTGGAAGCTTCGAATGGGACTTCATTTGTTATATCAGCAGTGCCATTAACAATTTTCTGACTGAAAGTCAACAAATTGAATAACCTGTGGTTCAAAGTGTCAATAAGAGTAAAAAATGAGTTTTCTGGTCAGTAGACCAAAACAAATAAATAGTCTGTTTATGTCAGCGTGCAAATGCTTTGGCCACACACAATAATCTAAATTTACCGTCACCTGAAATCAAAAGCAGTGTTTTTAAATCTGCACTCTTTGCTGTCATTAATTTGTTAAGAGTGCATTAACTTGTTAAACGTTAATAGAATAAGTCCCCTGCTACGTGCAGTTTTAATCTTCCATTGTGCAGGCGGACGTTACGTATTAACGTATGGTCCGCAGGCATCACGTGTTACCTGGCCAGCGCCTGGACCTTCGCTGAGTGCCTCTCTTCCAGTTCTGCCAGCTTCTTCTTCAGCAGATCGGTTTCCTGCCTCAGGCCTGCTGAGTGCTCCATCTCCCCATCCAGCAGACTGCGAAGAGACCTAAAGAAAAAAAAACACACTTTAAAAAGCAGCTGCCATGCACGTTTATGCATAAATAACACAGGCTTCTATCACTATCACATTCAGGTAGCATCCCATACACAGGCTTAATCCTCTAAATGTTAAAATACTGGGGATGTTATTTTCATAAACAGATTAGATAAACTATGACGATACTTGCTTTAATTGCAGCACTAACAGACAGACTGATTTACATTTAGCTCTGATATAAAATATTGAATCAGCACTTAATCTGTGCCTGTGTCGTTAATTTAATACCCTAAATTTAAATCATTTAGTATGAAATTCTAACCTCTGCTTGGCAGGAGATTCACTTTAATTATATAGAGAGAGATCCTCGCCTCTCATCTTCTTAAGGAAACCATTCATAATATTCAGGCTAGTAAATCCTTCTTTGTCATCGGGTTGTGTATCACCTGCTTTCATATGCGCTGTTGTGCAGCTTTTTCCAAAAAGAAAACTTCTTAAAATCGACTTTAATCATCAGACCTTTTTAGACACTTGTGGTATTTGTATTTTAATGATCTTTTCTTAACTGCTGACTCGGGTTTTTCTGCTCTTTTAGTTATTTTAGATGTGTTGTGGCGTACCTCAGGGGTCCATGTTGGGTCCTACTCAGTTCTCATTATATATGCTGCCTTTGGGATCGATTTTCAGGAAGTACAAAATTCACTTCCATTGTTACGCCGACACCATCCAGATTTATTTTCCTGTCTACGAGATGTTAGAGACTGGTTAACACAGCTTTTATCACCTGCGTCAGATTCCCAAAGCAAAATCCCATCTTCCTCCAAAAGACCTTAAAAATCCATATTTATGCTTTCATCAGCTCTAGATTGGACTACTGCAACAGCTTGTATCTGTTTGTTGCTCGCAGGCAGTCAAAATGCTGCTCGTTTAACAGATTTTGCATCACTCCAGTTTCATCAGGTCTATAAAGGCTCCCTGTCCATTTTTTATATTAGAAAATGTGAGATCCTTTTACTCATTTTTTATTTTTAAATCGCAACCAACTATTTAACCAAGCAGTGCAACTTATACAACTCCAAATTCTCATAGTACAGCCATGGTTTCCATTAAAGCAGTTTAGTCTATTTTATTGTATTTTTGTTTTTTATATTTTAGTTCACTGTATCCTTTTAATTTATTGATCAGTTGTTTCATCTTGTTTTCTTTAACTAACTTGTAAAGTACTTCAGTCAACCTTTTTGCTTTCAAATCTATAAGAGAAATAAATATGTATTGTATTTTTGATCTTATCAATATTGACCTTTGACTTCCAGCATGCTCAACTTTTTTTAGCAGCTGTTAAATCGCTGCAAGTCACAGTCTCTGGAGGCCCATAAGAGAAGTTCTTCCAGCCTAAGTGCATGTGTGTGATGGAGCATTTGAAAGTTTGCAAGCAGCAGGTAAGAGGAGTGAATCCCGACGTACGTGTTTTGTTCTTCCAGTTCGTCCTTCCTGTTCATCATGGCTACAATGGCCTGACGCAGCTCCACTGCAGAAGAGACACTG